TGGAAATTATTAAGAAGATGCACCATTAGAAAGGTTTTTCATTGGGATGACAAAGTCTACATTTCAGTTTTGGGTCTGGTGCTGAGCCATTCCTTGATACCCGATGAGTCTCTAACTTGAACATAGTTGGCCTTCACTTCAGGGAATTCATCAAGTAATGATGGTTTGTGCTCACTCAAGTAATCTCCCAATGTGAACATGGAAATATCAGCATAGGTCAACTAAAAATAATTTATCAGATAAACTGTAAGTTGCTATAATGTATCAAGTGACCCTATTATAGGTGGTCGTAGTTTGTTTACATCCAAAATATAAAATTCAAAAAATAAGCAATCTGAACTCATATAATTCAAGATTATATTAATGTCAACAAAACCTGAAAATTTTAGGGCAAACGCCTTTTTACATTTCGAGATATCGGCATTTCAAAACTACAAAATCTATAGAAAACATTCAGTGGTTGGCAAAATAATGCCAACCACGGTCATTTCTTTAGAATTTATTCGGCGCTTGATATCTCTTGAATTATTTAACCAATTGCCTTCAAATTTGCAGGAATTGTTAACAGGTATGAGTTCTTTTCATTTACATGTATGGGCTTGATTTTCTTGTGTCTTGAAATTCGATTTCTGACTTTTATGCAAATTAGCTAACGTAAACATTGGTGCCCACCTATACATGTGGGTTTGGGGAACAATTGACTTAAGTTTAGTTTGGCAAGTTCACATTACCAAACAAGCTTTTTTTCTTTTCTTTTCTTTCTTTTTTTCAATTAAAGAAACACAACCAATCACTGTACCTTGCGAGCCGAATGACCATTTTAGGTGGACACAAAAATACCAGATTTGTAGGATTTCCTCAAAGTGAGCATGAACTGTCTTTCATCCTTTAAGTTTGGACAGAAATACCTTTAACTAGGTACCTCACAGGTACTATCAATCTGTAATTTATTGTAAGCTTGAATATTTTTTTGTAAGCATTTAAATGTATACAGTATTAACATGAGTTCTCACTGTATTGTGATTGGTTGGGATTCTCAAACTGAAGCTTTGACCATTTTACTTCAAGTAGCTACTTTGTTTAAGATTAATGAAACTGTGTAATGAAAGTGCATTAAAGAGGAAGATGCCATTCACCACCCCTATACAATACCTTGTCACCAACAAAGAATCCTTTTCCTTTGCTGTTATTCTTAAGCAATGCAGTCATTTTCGTATAGAAATTGGGTACAACTTTTTCATAAAACTCCTTCTCAAGGTTTTTCTGAAATTCAATGTATAATTTCCTGTGAGTTTGGTCTTGGACTTTCGCATATCTGCAGTACTGATTTTGCAAAACTATTATTTTTTTTTTATTTTCAAAATCTGAGCTAATTAAAAAAATGTCAAAAAGAAAAAAAATTATTGAGGAGGAGAGGGAGGGGGTTGGGTGGGACTATAGACCCACAGTCATACTGTCCCACAGTCATACTGTTCTGCAGCTCCTGAGCTCGCTAGTGGATCACAAAATTAAAATATTTATCAAGTACAATTATTAAGCACCTTCTTTTCCTCATCTTTTTCAAATTTGAACGCATACAATTTTCCAAACACATCAAAGAGTGAATCAACAACCATATCACATTGAGCAACCATAAAGCTGTCTTTTGGACAAAGACCTGCAAAGAAAATAACATTGCTTCCTTAACATGTTATGCAAATTTAATTTTTAAACACAATAAGTAAAAGCTAGTGAGGGATGCCTGTTGACCATCACCATGTAAGTTTGACTGAACAACTGAACAGTTTTGGTACAACATTTATTAAGTACAACTTCATGAATGCAATAATACTAGCAGGGAATTCTGGACATGGGGGACGCATGGGTGGCCGAGCGGTGAGAGCGCTGGCCTGTCACCTCTGTGGACCCTGTTCGAATCTCGGTTCGAATCTAGGTTCGAATCTCGGTTCGAATCTCGGTCGGGGCGCCATATGTGATTTGAGTTTCTTTCGTTCTCTCCCTTGCATCGAGGGTTTTTCCGGGTCTTTCCAAGTTTTCCTCCCTCAGTAAAAACGAACCATTTCTATCTGCTGTGCTCCGCGTTCAGTCATTCGTTGCTATGTAAAGGAAGCGCCTAGCCGGCAGCACRCCTATGTATAAGTGTCTGTAAAATGTGTCTGTAATATAGCACTTTGACTTGAGAGCACGTCGAGCTGCGTCTTTCGCAATTCAGCACCCATGCTGCCATGAAGGACGATTTAGCACCCAACACCTTTTTTTTTTCCTTGTAAAATTGATTACAATTAAAACTTCAGAAAAGTAGAAAACTATGGAAAGCTTGATACTTAAATGTTTTGAAGAATGATCTTACCAAACTCTCTGGCCAAATATCTCATAATAGCCAATGACTCATTCAGCTTTTTTCCATCAACTTCAAGCATTGGTAGAAATCCCATTGGGCTCAAACCAGCTAAAAATAGAAATTAGAGTACATGTCACATACCCATGAAATAAAACTTGATATGTATGTCTAATTTGTGCTATTTTGTACAAACGTAGTGGATAGCACCAGGGTGGAACAGTGCAAAGAACAATATTCAAATAATTATAGCTGCCTTTGTGATTCTTTGTATGATTTTATACCCAAGCACAATCTTAGTTAGTTAATAGAGTGATCGCAATTAATACGTGCAAATGTACAAAATAGTGCTATTTAGTTGTATTTAGTAAATTGTGCATGCGATAGGCAAATTTTAAATTTTAAAATTGAATTGATAAAAATGGGTCTTACTTCAGGCCCACTTTTAGTATGACTTTAATAGTACTACCACAGGTAGCCCAAGCTCTACTGTAAAGGCAAAAATAAATGTGACAGATATTGACTAGTGGCCATAAAAAAGGTAAAAACTAAAAAAAATATCAAAAAAAAAATCCGCATAAAACATAAAACACAACAAAAATATATGTAAGATCAAATAATTTCATTCAAAATATTTTCAATTTTTTGCCTTCACAGTAGAGCTTGGGCTACCTGTCGTACTACTTAGATTTTGTTCAGTTGCGATCACTCTAATAAAATAGTTGAAACCTAAAAACTATTAGGCACTACATAATTAGGAATTATTTCACGCTTATATGGCATGCACTCTATTTAAAACGTTTGGATACATATGAATGATTCAAATGAATATCTGACCCAAAACTCTGAAATTCAAGAACGTAAGCGAAGTTTGACTCAACTAAGAATCGCAAAGATCATCTGTAAAAAATTCATTCAAGAAATTCAGCCCCCCCAAATCAGAAGGACCATAAGAGACGAAATCATGTTATACACGCCCTTCCCCCTCCCCCAAATATCAGGTCGATTTCGTGACCTCAGCTCGAGTTGCAAAGAATCTATTATCTTGTGGACAATTGATTTTTTTGTTCTTTTTCAAATTAACAAAGTCTAACTACTTGTTGATTAGGACTAGTTTGCAAAAAGAAACTTGTTCAAAACGAAAAGAACCGCATGTAGTACGAAAACCGCAGAAATTTTGTGCCTGGTTCTTTTGATCAAGCCGAAGTCGCGTCCATGATAATCTAACCTGCTTTCTCCTTTGACCATTCTTCGAAAGTATACCKTACATCTTCGTACTTAACTCCGGCAGCAGCAAAACAAAGTCTCGCTGGTTCTGCTCGACCACGAGCGTTAAAGTAGTACAACTTGTAAGCGGGCATAATTGAGTTCCAAAACTTGTTCAGCTTTGTATAAAAAGCTCCCGAAGTCCAAGTGGCAAGTAGCTGTCAGTCAAGCAAGAATGACACAGGGATCCCAACAGTGGACGCATAGGACAGTGATTTTAAACGTCTAAATTAAAGGTTTGAGATCAATTATTAAATTTTCGGTATGATTAAATAAATAAATAAAAAATAAACCAGAAATATCAAAGCTGTTGTTTTGTGTTACTTCATACTACAGCTCGGTAGTGACATCAAATAAAGTTCCGTTGAATAATAATTTAGTTTACTTCCAAATAAGGGTATGTGACGTTAATCGGTCACATGACCCAGGAAAAAAACAATCGTTTCTTTGGCTGTGGAAATTTCAAACACTATTTTTGTGTCCATTATATAGATTAGCGTTCACAATGTTGTAAATAATATACAGAACGTAGATATTTTATATTTTTTTTAACTGAATTTCCCGAACTAGGGTTTCATACGATCCGTAGCCCGACTTGACGATCGTTAAAGACACTGGAAATACAACAAGGCTCTGCCTGTCGCTGACAGACTGAGACCAAGTACTTTATCGCAAAACTCTAATATACTGCCGTCTGTAAGCTTTTTATTGCATCGCACTTTTTATTTAACTTTTTGTGCATTTGATACATGATGTTGTGAAATTCGGGGCAGACAAGGCWGGCCATCTTTCAACAGTAATTCTAGAAKTGGGTCTCGGAGTTAAGCATTTGTGGTGAGCGATCGCCATATCTTTTCGTCAAAAAGGTTAGTATTTAGTATTTAACTTAAATCGGTTTAATTTCTTGATTGTGAAAGTCATTTCTAAGATACATTATTTTGTCTAAATACAGTTTATATGGTATTTCAAATCAAGTAGAATGACAAAGCAATCGAGTTTCTTGAACCGTTTGCTCGATCGAATAACTTTAGTCTCAAGCTCGACCGGTTTTCAAATGTCGTCGTACATGGCTGTTTTCAAAAAAAAAAAAAATGATTTTGTTGTAGTATCGTATCGATAGTTTTGAACGATCAGTTTTAATAATCATTCGGAATTGCTTTCAAACAGCTTTGACTTCGTTCCGGGTCGTTTCCAAAGCAAACGTTTTACTGGAGTGTTCTGTTTTGTAAGCTTAAAAACAGGACATTTTGTTTTTGTTATTTCAAGTTGACGTTCAGCCAGGCAGACTAACCTTTGCTATCTGTTTAGAATAATTTTTTTTCTGCTCAACATTTGAGCCAGATATTTGTTTATCTTCGGGAGTCGATATTCTGTTTTAAATTATGTCTTAAAAGCGATAAATGCCCTTATTACCATGGGTTTTACCCGTATATAGTTTACCTAGATTGAATTTTTTAAAGTTATTTACTATTCTCATGAAGTCTTCGTCGACTAATTTTTTAGTTGGCAAATGTCCATTTTGTCAAAATGTAGACTCATCAAAATGAGTTTGACATTTGAATGACGTATATATTATGTCTCCTAGCAATGCACAATGATATAAAGACGCCTATTGTCTTCTTTCATTTTGTCTCACAAATATTAATTGCATAAGGGTTTAGCAATTTCCCTAAAGTTGATCCTATCCTGTTAGATAATATGCCCTAATACTAGACAACAATAGCACAGATAACTAATTAGTGCCCTCTTGTCATTATGTAAGATCATGGCTCTTGCTGGAGAAGAAGTTGAAAAACCTTGTTCTTCAAGTCAGAAGCAAGTATCATCTGGTAGTAGGAAAGATACAAAGCAAAGAAGAAATGGCAGATTTTCATTRCGTAGACTTTTTAGTYGCTCCAGAAACTATAAAGGTGAAAGCAAAAATGACAAGATCTCAAGGAGTAGGAAATCCAGTAGTGAAACAATGGTGATTTGTCCTGTGTGTTTTGTTGTGAGACCAAGAAGCATGTTTCCAGAGATTTCTACATGTGAACATAGATCTTGCATAGAATGCCTACGGCAGTACATGACAATTGAGATCAATGAATCACGTGTGAATTTAACATGTCCTGAATGCTCCGAACGATTCCATCCHAATGATGTGAAACTCATACTCAATGATGATGTTTTAATGAACAAATATGATGAATTTACTTTACGGCGGACATTAGTTTCTGATCCTGATTGTCGCTGGTGCCCTGCTCCAGATTGCGGGTATGCAGTAATTGCAACTGGTTGCGCAAGCTGTCCTAAACTTGAGTGCCAACGACCAAATTGTAACACTGAATTTTGCTACCACTGTAAGCAATTATGGCATCCAAACTTGACGTGTGATATGGCTCGATATCGACGGGCAACACATATAAAGTCATTATCTACTGAAGGACGTAGTTCTAGGGAAAATGATGATATGAAACCTTGTCCAAGGTGTGGTGCATTTATTATTAAGATGGACGATGGTTCGTGTAATCATATGACTTGTGCTGTTTGTGGTGCRGAGTTTTGTTGGCTTTGCATGAAAGAAATCTCAGATTTGCACTACTTGAGGTAGGTATTTTTCTAAAAACACTTTAAACATATTATATAATAATTTATTATACACCTAATTGCAAATTTGCAATAGTTGTCATATGAAAATGAAAAATAAAATGTTTGAAAAAAACATTTAAGGAATCTAAAATAGGAATAGGTTAAAATCAAATAAATTTTATTAAAGTCTCTTTGTATTTTAATCAATTCCTATTTGTAAAATGTTATTTTTCTGATGCCTAATTCTATATTTTAATTCTATATGACAACAACCTTGCAGTTAGGTGTACATGATGTTGACAGTCTTATGCTACAAAAATATTCAGTTGCAAAAAGGATCTTCTCCTTTGACATTGATACAAACACAATGGTGGTACACGCAATATTTGTTATTGTAAAAAGGTCATATTCCTATAGGCAAATAACATGGACGATTCACGGGCATATTGTTGATRATGATAACCTTATAAGGGATGCACCAAGAAAACAGGTCCAACTCTTTTGTTTTGTCAAATGAAAACAGGAGTGACCCCATAACCTAAGGGTGCTCTATTTAATGCATTTTGCAAAAAAATTATGAGTGTTCAGGGCTCTCACTAGAAACAAAAGTAGACGTCAAAATAGGAAAAGTAACCATGAAAATAGGAAAAGTACAGCCAAATAATAATTTGTGAATAAATTCGTAAGTAGCCGGCAATTAACTAAGCTATAACTGGGGATTTTTGCCGTCTGCCGGCTTCTGCTGAGAACCCTGGGTGTTTATAGAGACTACAAATTCATTGCTGATTATATATACTAGACAATAGAGATTTCAGCTTGAGTTATCTTCCTTTGTCCACTTAWGACATATGACAACCTTATTGCTAGTAGATATTATGAGCACCAGAAATACACTTTGAAACTAGMCATTGTTTCTCCAGCTTCTGAGTGCTGCTCCTCTTGACATGTTTTTATCAGAAAATGTGGATACGTACAAGCAGCTGTTTTGTGAATAATTACAAAACAGAATTATTCTAAATGAAATATGGAAGATAAGAGCAAAAGGCCTGCAAGCTCTATGATACAAACATTAGCAAACTGATCACTATCAATAATGTATCAAAGTGTTTTTGCCTAGAGGGGGGTTGATGAGTAATATATAGACAAAGATAACTTTTTCACTCAAGTGACTTTATTATGACTAGCTATAACCAGTCAGAAGAGAATGAAGTGTTATCACCACTAGACATTTCTAATCTTGTGTTCCATGTTATGAAATACAGACTTCTCTCAATGTTTTCACTAAAAATTGTTTTGACAAATGAAATGATTGTTTTGACAAATGAAATGATATCGTTTTGCTTCCTAAACTTGATAACAAAAATTCATTCAGAGTTGTTAGAACAAGTAGGAGACAGCTGCATGTTCCCTAGCAGAATTAACCAGGGTTTCTGCAGCTGTATTAACAAGAAAACTGCAAATAATGTTATCAAGTGCACTTTTATTTTATTACTAAAAGCAATAACCAGTGATTTTTGCCATTTACAAGCAACTTTTGAGAACTCAATAACACACCATCACAATCTTCCTAGAAAGCTAGAAAAAGAGATTTCAAAACCAAATCATTAAGATTTTAACATTACTAACTTAGGCAAAAATTAATAATTTTTATCTGAATATGAGTATTCCAATTAAAGCATTTGGCACAGTGCAGTAGGCTTCTGTTTCCTAGACTATATTTTATTATCTAGTATATGCCTTTCTCCAAAATTGCTACCAATTTCRGTGTTTATAGGCTGTKTTAAATTGTCAATGAAAATGGCCTGAAATTATCTCTAGACAGAGATAAAAACAATGTACTAAGAACAATGTAGTCTGTATTTCAGACTCCATGGAGGTATACCACAACCACACAGGTGTACTGTCTGTGAAATAAGCAAACTCCTGATATTTGATAGAAAAAAATCATAACTTTAGAGCATATAATTGTGACTTGATGTTATGACTGTTCTTCATAGCTTGTAAAGAAAGAAAATTTGATTATTCTAATTCAGGGATTGTCATTTTTGTCTGAGGCTGAAAAGAAATAATTTTTATGTTAATTAGTGGCGAACATTTAATTTTCGAGGAAGATCAGTTGGTTAAAAAGTAGACATGAAAAGAGATAACAAGACTAGCCTTTAAATATTTTAGGATAAACATGTAGAGGATATTGCAAGTGAGTACAGTCCAAGCATTCAAATATTATTGTCTGACACAAGGGGGCATATCGAAAAAAGCATATTATGTCTTAGGACAAAAAAGCAACACACACAGAGCAATGTGCCCTGTTCTCACTGTCCTCCATTTCAGCTCTCAGCAGTGGAGCACTGGTTAGGAATTCACCATTTTTGCATGATCTCAAATCCAGCTCAGAATTTCACAATTTTTTTTTCTATACAAATATTATGTAACTCTATTGGAATAAGTCTTGAATCTATTTTCATCTCTAAGGGGGATACATGCATGCAGTGTTGTGTGTTGTCTGTCTGTCTATACATGTTATGTAACACTCTAATTGTATATTATTTGAATAAATCTTGAATCTATTTACATCTCTAGTGATGATACAGGCAGTGTTGTGTTGTCTGACTTAGCCATTGTCATTAAAAATCTGCTTCACAAACATTAATGCAAAAATGCTCTTTTTTACTTGTGATCATGAATATGTTTTTTTTTTACATTTTAATGACAGTCCTTCTGGTTGTACGTTTTGGGGTAAAAAGCCATGGAGTAGAAAAAAGAAGATTCTGTGGCAAGTAGGAACTCTTATAGGGGCACCATTGGGCATAGCTTTGGCAGCAAGTGTTGTCCTTCCTGCAATGCTAATTGGAGTTCCTGTGTATGTTGGTAGACAGGTAAGACTTCCCTCCTCTGAATTTTGGTGGACACTGATCTTAATAAATATCTTTGTTTCWTCAATAGATTCATGATAAATATGAAAAGCCTTTTCACTCATCRCGCAAGAGAAACCTTGCCATAACAGGTGGTGTGACTATCTCGGTCCTTATCTCGCCGATTCTTGCTGCCTTGACAATAGGGGTAGGAGTTCCTATTGCCCTTGGGTACATCTATGGTGTGGTACCAGTCTCTCTCTGCCGTAGTGGCGGATGTGCAACAGTAACTGCCAAGAATGGAAAAGGAGTCAACTTGGACTTTGAAGAAGATAGGCCAGCCTTTCCTGGGGCATCTGGATTTCTATTTGGCACATCACGCTCTAGTAGCCGAGGAAGCATGAGAAATGCTGATAAGAACGGAGGGGTAGTGACAGTGGTAGCTACCGTCAATAATTTAGGTAAACATCAAAATTTACCTGGAGTGTTTCAAGAGATGTAATGGAMGTCTAGTGTTAACTGCAATGCTAAATCATCAATTTGTTGTTAGTAATCTACTGTATAGTCTACTGTCCAAAAAAAAGCAATGTTTTGGTCTTATTTGCTGGTCAGTTTAAAAACGTACAGTACCTTCAACACTGAGAGTCCTTCATGAATACAGTGGAAATTGAGTGCATGAAAGAAGCAAACAAGCACAGCTAGTCTTTCTTGCTTCTTTAATGCTAGACKTCATCTCCCACCTTATGTCGACCAACTTATGGATTTTCATGATAATATTTATGTTGTATAATTAATTTTTGAATTTTCCTGTGTAAAATGTGTGCGACTGTGGCAAACCATGCTTCTGAACTTTGATTAGCCACTGTCAACTGTCAGTGGCGTCACACACATTTAAAAGTCTTTGATTACCATGTCTCTGAACTTTGATATAGACACTCAACAGTCATTGAAAGCACACATATTTCAAAAAATAAATGAAAATTATCTAATGTGGAATTAAGTGCTCTTTTTAATCCTTTTTTCTGTCGCAGATRCTGAAAGTGGAAAGCAACCAAGTGTTAGCATGAGCCAAGACTGTGCAAGTCTCAACAGCAGTACAACWGGACCTCGTATAGCTGACAACGGCAGCCACGCCTCACTTATTCCTGCACCACGTAGCTGCACTGTYAGCATTGCCAGCAGCTTTGACAATTTTAATGCAAATGAGAACATTCCTTCTTCATCCATCGCCGAAGTATCCTCAGTTTCTGAGACTGCTGAAGGGGAAACACAGTACAGTGGAAGTTGTCGTCAGTTGAATGTCGAAAACATGGACAATCTGTCAGTTTTGGAAAGTGTAGGTAGCCATGATGACTGATTTCTTCAGGTTTGCATTTTGTTTTTAATTTTTGTGACTAGACATATTTTGGTTTTGAGTTTCAGAGTGTATATTTATAAGGAAATTCAAAGGTTAATATATTATAATTCCACCAGAAATAATAAATGTTGAATGGAAAGCCACTGACGTTATATAAAAATGCAGCATATTGAGAAATACTTTTTGATCAGATTTTTTTTCATTTTTTGTCTTTTTGACATCTGTTAACTGTTAAAAAATGTGATATTCCTATTAACGTCAGATATTTTCCAAATAAGATTAAGTKTCTATTAAATTGACTTTATAAGGTTTGCATTGTCTTGGAGATAAACCACACTTGGAATCTCTCACAGATATCTAATAATTGAAAACCTCTTCAAACTCATTGACGTATACACATGAACACCAGAGACACTCATTGACAAGAACAAGCTAAAAAGTTCAAGGTTAATTTTGTGTGTGCATGTAATGTAAACAATAGGACCTTAGTAATGGTGCATGTTACTAACTGTAACTTACAGAAAAAAATCGAATTCAAACATTTCCTACACCCATATTTTGCCAAAAAAAACATCAAAATAAAATGTTATTCCTATAAGTGGAAGTCCAATCCCTTGCGCATAGAATCATGATAATATTAATAATAATAATAATAATAATAATAATTGTGTTTATACATTGTTTTAATAACATTGTGTTTATACATTGAAAAAATGAATTATTAATGAATTTTTTTATTAAAAGTTTTATGAACTTTTCAATCATGATATTTTTTAGGAAAAATGTCGAATTATTCTAGAAACTACCAATGCCAAAATATGTCTTGTACAAATCAAAGAAATGGAATAGTGAATAATAATTATATTATGATTGGAAACGTTTTTTTTATTCAGCTCTGAATAGGATAAAAATGCAGAGAAATGCATTAAATAACACTGTGCATTAAAATTAGACTCTTGGGCTATAGTTTTCCCTTTTCAGACCCTTTGAGAGGAGAATAATTTGTTTTCCATCACTGCTTGTAAACTACAAGATACTAAATTTAGTTTTCACTAAGCAAATAATTCCACACCTTCCATATGAGATAACCATAGCCCAAGCCAAGAAAGTCTATCGTCGTTAAAATCATGGTATTGTAATATAGAATTTGTTACTAAAATAACATAATTGTATAGTTTTCCTTGTGGCAGTTTTTAGTATCAAAATGAAACTTGGTCATGCTGTCCTTCCCTTCGCCCCATGGCACGGAATCCAGTGAGTCACAGACAACAATTCTTGGTGTGCAAGTTACGTCATCACCGCCATGTTGGATGAAAATCACAAAGCATTCCTCATTAGTTTCTCTTGTTCATTCATCCAACATGGCGGCAACAGCTTTGTTCTWTATTTCTCWGGGGATTCCTGGTCATGTGGTTGCACACCAWGAATAGAAGCTAAGWAGCTTTGCACTCTAAATYCAATATCATTTGGAATCCTTGCAAAGTTTTCCATGGAATCATRSGAAATTCTGTGTCATGGGATGATTCCAACATGTTATGAAAGRAGACTTGGAGGGATAGCATCACTATCATGAATACTAACATGTAAAATAAGTGAAGTTGAAAAAGACACTTATAAGTACCAATCCAAAAAATGTAAATATTGGCATTTCTWAAGAGGACAGTTCAGCTGGCCATTGCCGACTTCATATATGAAGATGGCTGTATGCAACTCTAATAATTAATAAGACAAAATTGGTCAGAAGTTTAATAGTGTTTAAAAAATGTTAAAATGTCCAAAGAAATGTTTGCGCTTTTGGACAGTTGTATGACTTCAATTTGTCTGGAACCTGTCACTTGATTTCACATCTTTCAGTTCATAAACAAGTTCTCAGGTCRTTACAATACCAAAACTGCTGGCAGAAGTCTGCTTACCATCCTTTGTGTCATCTTGAAAGGTAGCAATGCCATTGAGCATGCAGAGACAGAAAATTTTTTCACCTACAGACAATTATTCACAGGTATCTGTCATTGCACGCTCTCACTGGTTGTCTCACTTTGAAAAAAAGTATGGTTGACATACCTTTCAAGATGCCAAAGAGACCTCTGAAGAAAAATACTTTATATTGATCTTAAGCAAAAAGAATGTCAGTTTAATTATAAAATTCAATGTTGTCAGAATACACCCAATGGAAGAAAAAGGAAAATTTTAATTTTTCAAGGTGTTCTTTGCTTACAAAATAATCACCAGAGAAGATTACACCATGACTGGAAATCTGAATACTTTATTTTCCAKTTCAACAATGGTAGAAACTGTCTTATTTACAATTTACAATAACTCTTCTTGCACAAAGGCCTTACAAGAAACAAAGCATGATATTTGCATTTGCTCTGAATTGAAACTAGTATGTATTCCCAAWTGGCCTAAAAGCACTTAGGAAAAACAGAAATAACCTCCATTTAGTAGAAAATGCCAAATTATTAGTAGGGTTATTGAAATCAGCCATTTTTCCATGCTTTTGTTTGGATAAGGCCTTTGTCCAACAGAATTTGTTGTGAAATATGTATAACTGACAACAGTTATTAGCTTTGAGATGGAAAATAAAGTTAATGTTTCCCTGGAAATTAATAGAAAGTGTTCAATGATAGAATGTAAAATCTATTTTAAAATCAATGTGTTGGTACAAAACTAATTTTAAGGTCTAGTTTTCTGGCGATATTGTTAAGGAATTATAATAATTATTTTTTTTGGAATTATTCACATGGCTACTGCAAGAATCAGTTGCTCCATTCCCATGAATTTAACTTGAAAATTGCACTTAATGCTACAGTTRCRAACATTTTTATAAACRAGCTATAATACTCCAGACCTTTAATTGCAAAGCTTTCAGAGGATGGCTATATTTTCAACTATATTTTGAGAAGTACACCCAAAATCTAAAGGAATGAAGTCAGCAGCAATCTGAGAAATATTTATTTACTTATTATAAAYCACTCTCAAGCCATTGAGAAGCAACTGTTTCAATTTCTTGCCATGGAATGATAAAAGAGGTACAGTAATTACTACATGTATAAGACAATGTTTTATTTTAAAAACTGAGTAGATTATAGTGTGTTATTTTGTAAATAGGAATTTAAAATTGCACTTGCTGTTGTTTCCACTACTATCCACCTAACCCAGACAAACTTCATGCCATGCATTTTATCAATTCAGTTTTGAAGTTTAATTTGGACTGGTTGTATAGTAATGGAATCAACAGTGTAATATTTTAGTTGAAAATACTTGTTCATGAGTTCAAATTAAAGTTTTTTAAACATTAAATGGGTGAATATTTGTTATGGAATCCTCCATTTTGATGACCATACATTGTCTAAAGGCCTTTTAAAAATAGATATGATAAAATCAAGGAAGTCAGCTTGCACCCAGTCCCTGTTTTGTTTTGTTTTGGACTTTAGTATAAACATACTAATGGTCTATCACTCATACTGCGCTGTGATTGGCTACTCTACTAATGGTCTAATTTGTGATAGACCACTCGCGGGAAAATCAATCTCATTAAAAAATTATTTTAAGGATATTTCAATTTGTTTTCCTTATTTGACCGATTAGTATGTTTATACTAAAACAATTAGACCTCTCGGCCTCGTGGACTACGAGCTAATAGCTCATTCGACCTCGCGGACTCGGCCTCATGGGCTATTAGCTCATAGTCCACTCGACCTCGAGGTCTAATTGTTAAATAGACCTAATTGGCTAAGGCATTGCAGATATAAACGTTTCCACGCAATTCAAACCACCTGCGAGTAAGTTTCATTGTTCATTGTATTTTCATTTCACAGATGAATTTGTAGAAACAAAGTAAAGTTGTTTTTCCCACAGGATTTGAATAACGTACATGGCAACATGTTATCCTATTAGGTCTATTTCTTAGCCAACAAAATATGCAAAAATCTAATGACTCTGACTGGTGACATGGACTGAGCAGTGTTGTTATAACAGCAAATGTTGAAGAAACGTGCTATCTGCCAGCACCCCCCAGGCATGGTGGTGACATGTTAACTTTATGACCACTAGCTTCCCACTGTGTAGGAGTTTTAGCCTGAAACAAAAATGATATTGTAAAGAGCAGTAATTAAACAAGATAAAAATGACGACTCAAAATTCAAAAACTCAGAAGGGGATTCAAAGGAGTATCACAGATCGATGCTCTGAAATATTAGAATTGATTACTATGATTTTGACTCCATATTTGTTAGTCAAAGTTCCAATTCAAAATAGCCAATGGGGTACAAATCAAAAATATTCAACTGGTTCTAGTTTTTAGAGGATATTTCTTTACATTTTTATGTATAAGATAGCCTCCTYAGAAGGCAAATTTATTCTGTGGAATCCTGTGTAAAGACAGAAAATCAGCTAGTCTTCTTTGCATCTGTTTCCAGTGTCAAAACACGATGATTAATTCTTTAAAAAAAAAGAATGTCTGTATTTCAATTGGCTGTCAAGTCAAAGACAATGAGAATGGCATTTCATTCGGATGAAAGCAGCCACGTTTTGACATTATAGGACACAGATGGAAAGGAGACTAACAATCGGCCAGAGGGGGTTGGGTTTAGTAAGGAAGAAAAGCAGGTTGCTCCTAAACTCTTGGTACCAGTTTTTTTTTATTTTTTTCTTGATGTAAAAATCTTGTCTAAACACAAGAAAATTAGCAATACATCTGTAGTGCCATASTTTACTTTGAATTGACCTGTGACTACTATAAAATATGGTATAAAAATATTCTAGTTTTGTTCTGAATGTTCCAGAGAGCATTCACAACCTTCAAAAATGGTATAATACTCTATATTATTATAGCTATCATAGTACACGCCCTCTGATAGGTCAAATGTTATTGTTTATTTCACCAGTATAAAGACACAGATGCGAAAACACAGTCATGTTTTGTACTATAAAAATATAAAAGCAATAAAGAACACATTTTTGTGCATTCCTTGTGAAATAAACCACTTGGGATATTGGGAAAACACTCAAAATGCTGAAAATCTCTCACCTYCGGCTTGCCTTTTTAGTGTTCTCCCAACATCCAGCATGGTTTATTACATGTACACCAGCAACACACAAAAATATGTTGTATAATGCTCAAATACTATAGTGGTAGGGATGACTTGCAAGCACATCCTCACACACGTCAAGCATCATGGGACAAGTCTCAGCAAGTAAATCAGCCTTTAGATTACCTGAATAGACAATGCATGTACACCAGATTCTAGTTCATTCTTCAGAACATCATTRACCATTCGGTGTCTCTGCAGAAACAAACAGTGGAGAAAAGTGATTGGCTAATAACCATTTTCATTTGGTAAATAATGTAGGTTACGTCTGTACTTAAACATCCCATGCAGACTTTATCATGACTTTTATGCAAGAGTCTTCTTTTCAAAAAAAAAAAACTAAAAAAACTGTAAAATAAACTAAACTAAAATAAAATAAACTAAAAAAAAACTAAACTAAACTAAACTAAAAAAAACTAAACTAAAAAACCCAAATAAACTATACTGTAAAATATTAAATAATTGTTTTTTGTGATATCCCAATTATCATAAATAAGGTTTTTACAAGTATTCATGCAGCACTTGATTGCACTTTGCAATAATCATCAAAACTACATTTCTTCATTATCATATTAAACAATCATTTCTTTTTACTATACCTGAATCAATGGTTTGTCTTGGAACAAAGCTGATACGACAACAACCTTGAAGTGAGTTTCAGAACCTGAATAATTATATTGCAAAATWAGTGTTTAGTAATAAACTTAATATAATTATTCAGATGTGATAAATATTGATATTTTGGACAGTGATCCCTAAATGTTTATTAAATGCAGCAACCACCTGCCATGAAGGATCTAGGGGATTAAAACTTTGTTGAAAGAAATTTGCCATTTTAATRGCCCTTTATAACATGTAAAGTAAAAACATTTTTAKCCAAAACATGAAGCAGGTTCTWATATTTGTGGAWTTATGTCTAAATTACAGGATAAACAACCACAAGTTGCTGACACAGTTTATTAAGAAAAATTTAATTAAAAAAATCTCTCCACACAGTTATTAGACGTGTAATTATTTGTGAATTGTGATTTGATTATTTATTTGTTCTAAGCTGAAAGTCACACTTATAGGCGCCATTTACACGAGCAATTTTTCCTTGACAAGTTTCTTGACAAGGAAAAATTGTCAGTGTAAATGGTCAACAAGTTTTCCTTAACAATTCTTCCTTTGACAATGTTTCTTTGCTCGTGTAAACAAAGAACAAGTTTTCCTTGGCAAGGAAAGTTTCCCCGTGTGAATGTTCAACAAGTTTTCCTTGACAATTTTTCCTTGCCACATTTTCCTTGTTGTCCATTTAAACACGAGCAAATTTCGTCCTTGACAATTTTTCCTTGTCAAGGAAAAGCGAACATGTTTGGCTTTTCCTTGACAAGGAAAAATTGTCAATATTACCCCATTTACACGAGCAATTTTTCCTTGTCAAGGAAAAATTGCTCGTGTAAACGGCGCTATATGTGATGTGAGTTTTTTATTATAATTTTATTATTATTTTAATTCCGTTGGAATAAAAATGAAAAGGTCTGGACTTGCACCAAAATGCATTATTTTCAAACATAAACAAAAGCACCATAAAGGCAATGTAGTTTTAAAAAAGTTATAATTAATAAATTTACCTTTGGGAACATTGTGCATATAGCTCTCATTGATAACTTCCATGTGTTGTGGCTGTGAAGTAACAATACAGAACTAGGTCTAGAGGTTTAATGGCTTGTAGGTAATCACAAAAAAAACACTAGCAAATAACTGGCATCATCTCTCACTCCTGGACCTCTATTGACAATACCAACAGTTCATGAACTATTGCATCAAAGCCAGGTAACAGAGGCCATTGCTAGCACAAGGCAAATTGGAGCACTTTTTGTACTTTATTCACTGATTACAGTCATTTACATGTTTACATGTTTTTTTCAAAAAGAAATAGTAAACAGAACTTAATTCAGATTCTCAGTGGCAGGGGACATTGGGACTTGGGGACGGGGACACAGGGACAAGGATGTCAGAATTCATGAATTTTTAAAAGTCCCGGCCCATGCATGTACCCGTCCCCAAGTCCACGTCCACCTTTTAGGAGAATCCCTTAAATTCAGTGCAAATAATGTTTCTGGGTGGAATAAGCATTTCCATTTTAGTCCACGGCAGCAGCCAAAGGGACATTGAGACCATTTTAACAGGTCATATATAAGGGTTTAATTTTCCTGGACATAAAAATCTGGCCATTATATAACCAAGTGGTCGTATTAAGCAGGTAGCTGTAWGGTGGGACTCCACTGTACATATTTTAACCACACATTGAAAGCAAGGTTAAAGTTCAACTTACCTGGAATTTCTTAGTAAGTTTATCTGTTATTGTGGCTTGAACTGACATTCTCTAATGGCAAAAAGAAAACTTAATTGATAGAATATTATCAGTACAGCATTTTCAAGGTCAGGACCCATGCATTTACTGTTTGCAATTATTTGAGAGCAGTGGTCAAAAGAAACAAAGGATAGCATGTCTTGTGGTGATTTTGATGACAACTGTCTCTACTTTGCTCGCATGTGTTTCTGCTTATGTTAATGTCTTCCATGCATCTCCWTTGTTTCAGCTACACGCATGCTTACGCTTTTGTATTTCTAACCTGCACAGTTGAGGTACAGAATTGCGACGATTTTAAGCCAATGACTCGTTCAAATTGACGAAATACTGGGGAAAACAAAAATTTCATTAAGACTTTGTAGCTTAGCTTAAGTGTGGTCGACATTGAGCGAGCTAGATTTTGTGCTCTTCTGAAAAAAAAATAATAATAATAATAAAATGTTACAGACCTTACAACTAAATCTATGATTATGAAATAACCTACCTCTAATCATTGAAAAGCTTCAGGCATTAAAGCTCAAGGACATCATTTACAAAGTATACTTTCCATCTCTTCAATTTGTTGTGCAAGTGAACTGAGCAGCCAGGCCTACCACAGGAACTCCACAGGTAAGAAGAGTAAATCGATTCGACGCCACAGCTTCACAGAATCCTCGTGGAATCTTTTTGGAAGTCACGGTCGTCTGTCTTTCTGCTTATTTTTCTTCGGTGCTATTATTAATGTGAATTCCATCTTAATGACAAGCAAAACGTTTTACCTAGACCACGGTCTCGCTAGTACCATCACATATAAAACGGCGCGCGTGTCTCTGATATAAACACGGTGGGAGTTGAAAAACACAAGGGAAGCAAGCTTAGAAACAAATAGATAGATATGTAGAGCGTAGCGAGTGTTTCTCTTGCTACTCGAGTGTTTTTCAACTCTCRCCGTGTTTATATCAGAGGACAGAGACACAGGMGGCCATTTATAGTTCATTCATAATTTTTTTCTGTGTATTTTTTAAGCGAAAAACACATTTTGCGGGTAAGCCGTGTCTCTGTCCTCTGGTAGTCTATAAACACGGTCGTCAGCCAATCAGAGCGCGCGTTATCAATGGTTATATGTCAAAAATTTATAAAGATTATATAATATAAGTAGCTAGATTTTTTTTGTTAGAAGACCTAGTCGATAAAGAAGAATGGCCAGCAAATTGTAATTGCAAACACTTGGGTAGTCTCCTCTCGCAGCCGTTAGGACGTTCGTTCCCAGTGAACGTCCTAACGGCTGCGAGAGGAGACTAACACTTGGGCAACTTGGTGAACGTTTTCATAACGCCATGTTCTAATTAGTGGCCTAATAATTTGTGCATTGCAACAACATGAGGCCAATCCATTATCAGCGACTGCCCCATTTAAGGCATTTAGTGACTTTCTGTGCGCGTATTTTCCTCAATTTCAACGTCACTAACAAGCTGCATGATATTTAATTGATTCAAGCATCTGCTATACCGTGGCTAATCTCGTTAAGTTATACATGCTAACGAAGTAACAGGAAAAATCAACTTGGAAAAAGTTCAAAAATGCAGTAACAAGCTAGTAAGATTGTCACCATGAAAAAAAGGTTGGATTCATTCTGTAGTAGGTCGAATTCGAAAATAAACATTCGGCAAATGAGTTTCTGAACTTAAAGGTACTCAAGATCTACTGATTCAAGTACGGTGAGTTTCCCGGCCATTCATATATCAAAAAGTCAATTGCATTTACCTACAAGAAAACTAAACTGCTGTATAACAGTTATAGCAAAGTTTTCCTTCAATTTGTAAAACGGAAATGAGTACGTTGTGTCTGATATATCTAGAATTATTTACTTACCATTATATGTACCTTTTATCTGTATTCCGATTCTAGGAAGAACTTTAGATAGCTATTGTTATGAAAGGTGCTTAATAAAAACACTAAAATTGCCAATCAAGTTTGTGTAATTAGGAGAGGCACTATCCTTTTTACACTTATTCCCAAACATTCATAACAGACATTTTAGAAATAGCTGATACAAGAAACTGTTATTCTGCAGAAACCAGCAGAAAAACGATTTGTCTTTGTTTCTTTTCTTTGATATTTTGAATAAGAGAATCCTTAGCTTGAGGCTAAAATTGATCAAAATACAAGGTGTTTTCACGCAATAAATAATTGATCCTTTATTCAGGCGTTACAAATACAGGCCTACACCGGCGGAGGGCTGAACGGGAAATACATGATTATATATCGCCCTACCGCCAACGCTATCAAAACGTTGTTGCAGAAGACCCATTATCGTTGAGTGAGTCAACAACATTTTGGGTACTACCGGGTACTACCAAACGCCACGGCTTCAGTAACTCACAGCCGAGCAAATAAAGGGAAACAGAAAAGATGTTGAATGCTGTAAAGTGGTAAAACGGTAACTCCTGARTACCGATCTGCAGGATATCTAAAAAAAATTAAAAGATGTAATTACTGACAAAAAACTATATCAAAAATCTATCGATCTAATCGGACTGAATTGTTTTTACTATTACACCGTGTGAAAAGTTGCCAGAGTCTTATAAGGACGCCGAAACTATTCCTTGAACAATTTGTGATATCATCGACTCTAGTGCTTGAAAATGTTGTAAAATTAATATAATTACGACACGYTAGAGGTTTACTGAACCCCACCTCAACAATTATTGATCTGAATGGTATAAAAAGCACCAAAATTATTTTCTCTCAACAAGAAAATATCGATTTACGCGGCATGATGCACAGTTGTGCAGATGGYAKSKGGCAAATGATTGATTATTTGACTAATTTGAAAGCGCTTTTTTCTTTGCAGAGATGGCTGGACTGAGAATTATGACCTGGTTTTTCGTGTTTGTAATTGGAGAAGTAATGAAAATCAACGCACTAAGTGTTTTCTACATCGGTGAGATATCAATCAACCATTTATTATTAATAATTCACTGAGATATTCAATGGTTTTTCATTGCAGCGACGACATTTTGTGAAATAGAGAATGATAAGAGTTGTAGTCGTCGCACTTTTCATAGTTCCTAGAAAAATCTTCCTAAAAGACTTAGTTTTTTATATTTTCTTTGTGGAAATGGCACAACTACTTCTATTTCTTCAGAGAAAATGCAAGAAATATAATGGCTTATAAGGATTGTCCCAGAGCGGACATGAAAAAGTATAAGTGACTATAACTCCCATCATGCTTTAATGCACAAAATGTCGACGCTGCATATCACCTATTCTCATCATGTAACGCCAACTGGTTGCATGAGGTACGCGTGTATATATGGTCCAGTGATCTAACTTTTTTTAACTGTCAAATATGCTGAAGACATTTCCCTCAAATACTGATTCTGAATTTCTAAATTTCTAAAAAAATCAAATTTGSACTCGGTACTAGCGACCATTTTGATCTGGGTGGTTGCTTGGTTGGCTTTGGTTGGCTGTGCGACTGACTGATAATGATTGAGTGCTTGATTTGATTGTTTGATTTAGAAATGCTGGAAAACAATGATGCACTCGAAAGAACACTAGTGGAGGAATCCATTCAGATCGTCAATAAGAAGTTGCTGGCAAACACGACCATGATWAAACTAAGCCTTCAAAACAACACCCAACGTCCTAATGACGACATCTCTAGCTTAGGTATGCTGAATGAAAGATGAAAAAACAGACTAACTGATCAGGGTCGGATCCAGGATTTTCCTCAGGGAAGGGTGCGGGGCTCTCAGGAGGGGTTGCACCCCAAAAAATCATTACTATTGAAGATACAAAATAAGGAAAGTATTGTAGGAT